CCATCTGTTCAAGAATAAAGTTCAACATAAACATATACTATTTAAATACCAATAAAGTGGGTATACAATATATGCTTAGTGTTTTTTTTTATTATAAACGTGACTCAATATAACATTGCGACTACAGTAAAAAAGATTTTACTGTTCTAAAAATTTTACTGTTCAGATTTGTTAGCAGTATTGGAATTGAAGATGTTAGAAACACACATCATTGTTGTCATGTGGTGTATGTGGCCAATCGTGAGACAGCTGTGTCGTCATCAGTGCTCCTGCAGTCGCTCTGAAAAAGCTGCGCCAGCTGAGTCAGCCGGCTGCTCTCGAAACGATATCGCGGTACTTTGATGCCACACGTGACAGTGACGTGGCGTCAGTGCCGGCTCAAGTCGGACAAAATTTCTAACAGGCATACACAGCTTCAAGTCAGCCGCTGATCGGTCTGCACAGCGCCGCATGAAGTCGAACGCACCTAAAGATTTCAAAGCAACGACAAAAACGCTAAAATCAAATGAGAAAAGATACAAAAACACTTACAGTATGTTGAACCTCCTGTTGCTTGACTGCATCTCTATCAGATGCAGACTGAATCTTGATATTGAAAACTGCAGAGGCCAGTGTTATGATAATGCATCTAACATGTCTGGTCTTTATAGGGTGTTTGAGGGCTCACATTCAAGAGGTGAACCCATTAGCTGACTGGATACCCTGCACTGTTGAAATGAACAGTGTTGCTTGCTGCAGTGAGACCATTTAGTTTTTTGGATTTATACATTCATGTTTTCATAATTTTTTTTTTCATTCAGCATCCTCTAGGCCAGGGGTAGGCAAGTTCGGTCCTAGAGAGCCGCAGTCCTGCAGAGTTCAGCTCCAACCCTAATCAAACACACCTGAACAAGCTAATCAATGTCTTCAGGATTACTAAGGCTATAGGCAGGTGAGTTTTTTTTCAGGGCTGGAGCTGAACTCTGCAGGACTGCGGCTCTCTAGGACCGAACTTGCCTACCCCTGCTCTAGGCGATGGAAAGTTATTATGGATGGACTTGAATCAAATGAAAACGGTCACCTAGAGACATTAAAAGGACTAAAAGGACTATCTGTCATCCAATGGGCCACTCACGTGCAGGCCACCAAAGCCCTTTGCTTGCATTACCAAATGTTAATGGATGTCTTGCTTAACTTGTCAGTGGACGACAGTCAAAACCCTGCTACTCAAAATGAAGCTCAATCTCTTCTGCAAAACATGGGACTGCATTTTTATGCATATTATGGAACAAGATCTTGAAAAACCTTCAGAAAACAAGTAAAAAGTACACTTAGATCTAGTGACAGCTGTAGAAATGCTTCCTGAAATATGATTTCAGGAATATGGTGGCAGTGACATCAGCAGCGCAGCATCATTGCAGTTGATCCTCTACCTATCAGAGCCAGTTATTCCACAAAATCCATCATGATAGTGCAGTTGTGGTTCTGTTAGTGTTAACTGCCTTTCTTCTTGACATCCCAAGAGATGTTAACTTTCAATGGCTTTTTAGGCCTGCCCTTACAAGTGAGTTACTAAGCTATAGACAGATACAGATATGGAGATACAAGTTGTTTGTTGTTTGTTGTTTGTATGTTTTGTTTTTTATTATTTTTGTTGTGCACTTTATTACCTGTGGTCCTTAAAGTATATTAGAAAAACTGAGGGCTGACTTGGAAAAACTGACTTGAAACAATATTTTGGCCAATAGCCTTTTTTTGTTGCAGTTTTTAGTATAAAGTTAAAGTAGTCTACAGGAAAGTTGTATTTGTTAAGCTCTAAGCTGTTCCCAATTATTAATCAAGCACAGGCTGCTATATGTTTAAGGTTGATATGTTGCATATGTTGCTTGCCAATAAATATATTTGTTGTCAATTCATGATACTTCCTTTTCTTGCAATTTCAATACTTAATATACATTGTTGTTAAATATAATTTAATAAATAATGCTACATGATAAATAGAAAGCTTCAAATAGACCCTGTAATCGATGATCGGTATCGGACGATACAGCTTCTAGTGATTGGGGATCTGTGATCGCCCCCAAAAATCCTGATCGGAGAACCCCTATTATACAGTCTATTGTCCCCCAAAAATACAACAGAAGAAAGAACTGGAAAGCCAAAAACAAAAGCAAAAGCTGCAAAGAATAGCAAAAACCAAAATCAACTCCCTCTTACCATCCAATAACATGGACTGAGAAACACCAGTCTTTACTCTGCCAACTCACAGATTACCTCCCTAGGCCACCAGTGTTAGGATCCCAGTCCACTCACTTCGATGTTTTGTTTGTTCTTGACTGTGATGCTTCACAGGATGGGCTGGGGGTCATCCTCAATCAAAAACAAGGTAGGTAGGTTAGTAGCCATTGCTTATGGCTTGAGAACTCTTTCAGCTGCTGAAAAGAATTACAATTTGCAATCTGGCACAAAGGTGGGTAGCCGAATTAGCAGACTTCCGGTTCACAATTACAGATCTGCAAAAATAAGTAATTACATTTTAAGAGTACATATTCAGGTTAAACATTTGCAAACAAACTAATATATGTGTATTATGTTTAGATATAAAGGCCTTATCAAACTGAGCACAGCAGTGGAAAAAAAAAGACATTCAATCTGTTGTACAAAAAGACAAGACAAACTGAACAGTATGCCAGCTATACAATAATCTATTCTGAAACTGCTGCTTTGACATTTGAAAAGTGTAAAAAAACAACAACAACAGCATTTTGGTTCAATACTGACATATTCTCTTTTGTGTGATTTCTAAAGACTGACCACAAAACCATGATCAAGAGAGCACCCTCATAGGCCATATCTTAAACGAGTGGTTTTCACATCTCTATCACTCATATATTAGACTCTTTGTTTTTGTTCTCTTGCTTATCTGATTTCTTTATTTCTTTCAAACCTCCTTTTTTAATTTTTATATTTCTTTCACTTACTTACCTTTATTCTTTTCTGTCCTTCCTTTCTGACTTCTTTCCTTCTTTTCTTTTGTGTTGTTTCCTTTACTCTTCCTTCATTTAAATTGTCAGACTCCTTGTTACCTAATTTCTATTTTCTTTCTTCACATAATTTTTCTTACTCTTATTTAAAAAGGGTTCACCCAAAAATGAAAATTCTGTCATTAATTACTCTC